CCTGTGATGCTGCTTGGCCTGCTGTGTTCATCCAGCTCTACACCTTGTTATCTTAAATTCCTGGGGACTTGTGTTTGAATCCTGCCAGGGCAGTTTGAATTCAATGAACATCTGGAATTAAGAGTCTAAGTGTAACTATGAATCATGAATTGTCGATTGTCAGGAAAAACCCGCCTGGTTCACTAATGTTTTTTAGGGATGGAAACTGACATTCTTACCTGGTCTGGTTTACATGTAACTCCAGGCCCACAGTAATGTGGTTGACTCTTAACTGTCCTCTGGGCAATTAGCCAGTGATGCCCTCATCTCATGACTGAATAAAATGAAAGTTACATTATCCAGATTTAAAAAAATCATCTTTTCAAAATTAATTCATGCAATGTGAATCAGATTATTTTTGAGCGTGGTGATGAAATTCTGTAAGTTCATTTTGTAAAGGTGTAGTGTTATGGTGTGGGTGTATTTCAAGACAATCGTGTAAAGCAACCAGCTTTCAATTAGCAGAAACTCCCGCAGTTACCATTTCTCTTATATGTGGACAATATTTCCTCTGTTGAAGAAAGTGTTGTGGCATTCTTTGTGCTGCAAGCACTAAATTTAAGTGATAGGCCTATTTATTTTAATGGTGACATTAATAGTGTTCCAGATGTAGAAATAACTGCTCTTTGTTTTAGAGTGTAGATAGAGAAAATAAAGCACAAGTGCCACAGACAGGTGAAATGTAAAGACCATTACAAAAATAAAGTAAAAGGAAGTTAGAGAACAAAGACAAAAAAGAACAAAGAACATAAAATGTCAGCTTGGATTTTGAAAGCGATGCTGTTGTATAGTCAACTTTATTGAATTTTGTGAAGAGATAACAGAACCAGCAGACAGCAATACAATGGACAGCAATACAGTGGTATGTATAGACTTTCACAAGGGTTTTGACCACAGTACAAAAACAGGGAGCAAGTATTAAATTCATAAATAACTCACGGCCGCATGTTCTCGTCCTCACAAGATATTAAAGAACCAGAGAAAATGCAAGAAGTACAGGGATGTTACCGGATTTAGAAGGTCACAATTATCAGTAAAGATTGAGTAGGCTGGTGTTTTCTATGGTAGAGAAAACTAGGAGATTACTTGGTTAGATTTTTGAAATTGTGCAAGATAATAGAGTGGATGTGAGAAAAAAAAAAATCCACTTTTGGTTGAGTCCAGGACAGGAGGCATACATCTAAGATAATCACTAATAGATGATAAATAAAACAGAAGGATTTTCTTCATCCAGACGGTGGTATGTAGTAATGGATTGGTTAAAGCTGATTCTATTGAAAAATTTAAGTGGAAGTTAAGAGAGAAATGAATAAGGTATATGAAGGGAGGATGGGGTTAGGGAGGAGGAAGCTGTGTGGATTATATGTACATAAAGCATGGATCAGCTTGGCTGGATGGCTTGTTTCTTTACTATAGATTTGAGGTGAAAAGTCTTTGGTATATGTGGGCGGTCTCCTCTATGGAATGTACAGCAATAAACTAAATGTTGCGCTTATTTTTGACTAGTGTGGATACTTCAAGTTAATGGCTCACGACTAAATATTATTCTATTTCCCCTTTAAAAATGTTTTATTAAAGCCAGCAAACTCGCGCAGGCAATCCTAAATAAATTATAAGTAGAAATTTGAGGAATGAGTTTAGATTCTTATTGTGATTTGGGGAATGAGGAGGTCATTTGCTGAATCATCATTTTGAAGTGTTGGGTGGCGTTGGCAACATCCCTTTAACCAGCGAAGATTTTTGAGTTCGCCACATTTTAAAAAAGATCAGAATTGGTAGTAATTTCACTTGATATTAGATACAATAGTAAATTATTTATTCATTCTAGTTTGTGCATTTCCATGATACAAATAACTCACAACAATTGATCCGGTACATGTAAGGAGAAAAGAGAATTTAAAAGCCATGAGGATTACTTTCCTAACCACAGCAACTTCAATCTACATGTATGTTGAGTGAAGCTACCTATTTTCACTGCTGGCTGATCGTTTCTCAACATGGTCTCTCTTGAAAAAGTTTTTTTTTCGGAGTGCACTGACACGGGGCTTTCTATATGCATCGAGGGGCAGAAATAAAACTGGCAGATGAGAGGAAATGACGCTCTTATCTTTATTTAATTTATAACGCATTTTTTCCTCCGGATACGTCGAAGACTTCCGTCTAACAAATGTTAGTGCCATGTTTCCAGCCGCTAGATGAGTTTGTGAGGGTCAGTGTTGAGCTGCAGTCTCTTATTCCACAGACCTGTCTGACAAGTGACATGGGGAACTGTTGCAAAACACAGAAGTGAGTACAAGAAGTGCAATGTTAGCACCAACGTGTAAAAGACTCACAACTCAGTGTATTGTGATCAATTTTTTTTATATGTTGAAAATGATATTTTGTTCGAAACCTTCCTTTTGATGTAGTAAACGAACAGAGCTGTTTCCCACAATCGGTACCAGATAATTCACTTGGTTTTAAAAGAGAAAGGGTCGCTTTGAACGGAACATGGCTGATTCTTAAAACATGAGCAAAAGGAATATGTTGGAAAGTTAGAGCAGCTTTAAAAAGGCTGCGCCTTTTGTTTTGACAGAGGGACAGAAGCTAGGATCTAGCTTGATTATTCTAACAAGCCGCCAGCAGCGCTCCCTAATTATCATGTTTCCTGGTGTCACTCCATCCAAAAGCTGTTGGAGGTCCAAACCATGTGATTCATTCAGCCAGAAATGAGGATACTGTGTTTCATTATAGGTGAAAACCGGCATTGCAAGTAACATGTGTAAGTGTGAATCTCAGTACCACGGGCCTTAGGTCAGCTTCCTTGCATTGTCATTGTCAAGAGTATTTTAAATCTGGCCTCAAGTGACTCTGTAGATTAGTTAGCGCAACTTCATAATTTGTATTAACCATCTTCTAATTATAAATCACAGAAAAGAACATCTCTAAAAGGAATGTAGTAAATGTTCAAAGCTTCTTTGAAATACAACATTGACGGTTATGCCAGGCTTCAGCCCAGACTTGTGCAGCCAGGAAGTGGGTACCCTATTTGAAAGAGGCGGATGAATGTTGGCCCCACTTCAGACACATTTCTGGCACCTGCTTACTCCTGGCCATTGGTAACAAGGCTGCTAAGAGCACCTGTCTTGTGGTACAGGTACAGTTGACCCACCGAGCACACAGGGTCTAATGGATTCCAGGTTATTCACCAGCTTGTCTCCTGTGGAAGCTGGTTTACCCAATCTATCGAGGCTGACCAGCAGCAGTTTTTCTGGCTACTCTTGGTCCTTGTCCTGTCATTCCACTTGTAATGTCAAAATTTCTGGACTTTTCATGCCAAAAGGAAACCCTAATCAAGGTGACAACTTCGCACTACTGGTTCCTCGCTTTTTCCAGAGTTCTGCTATCCTCATTGGTAAAACCATTGAGCAACATCAGGGTTAATGTATATATCTGAAGTCCAGTAATTTGGTAGGCATAGACAAATATAAATTTTAGGAACAGTCAGTGAACAATTTCCAGAAGGTTGCTTCATTTATTTAACCTTCAGTACTTCTCATGACTGTAATAGCAAGGAAACAAACACTCATTTGAGACAATGTGCAAATATGCACGTTTCAGGTTAATGAAGTGATTGCCTTGTGTAATTACATCAATTTTTTTAGTCCCAAACCACCAATTTTGATGAAAGTGTTATGTGGCAAGCACTGTGTATTCTTCAGCCTGCGTACCTTATTTTAAATGAGTTAATAAAACTAAAATTAGCTTGATCATCAAGCAGTATCTGATGACTCAGGAGATAGCAAAGAAAATAAATTACAGACTCATATCTTGTGAGAGTTTAGGAATGTAACCTTAACTCTAGGAGAAACTGATGCTTAGGTTTACTGTGTTTAACATTATCTTCTAGAACTAATATTGAAACTGATTTCAAGAATGCAATGACTCCAAAATCACAAAAGAAAATATTTGCCTGTAATCAGATAATATTGAACTGTATATATTGAAGGCTGAAAAAATATTTTGGTACTTAAAATGAGCAGTGAGTAGTCAATGCATACTTATAACCAAATCAAACAGGTGGATGCAGTGACCCAAAGACATTGTCATGCTTCCCCTGTATTTTCTTGATGCTTTTACCCAGATGGACAGTATCATATCAGGAAACACATGTAGAAACAGTAAAGCTGGTCAAACATTGCAATCTGAAGTTAAAATGTCGAAATTTAACTTCTTTTTTGATTTCTCTTTTTCTGCCTTTGTTCTTTTTTATAGCCCTGCATTTTTCTTATTAAGTTTCTATATCGAGTATGCTTCTCTGCCTTGCTCCCTCAAGCTAACCTAATTATATTTAATATATTGGTGTGCTGTGAGTGAATAAATATTAGATTACGCCACAGTACAATGCAACTGAATTTTGTGTGGAGGCATTTTGATTGCATTCCTCTTTCATATGCCAGGTTCTTCAATTATGGTGTATTGTGCTGTCAGAAATTTTTAAAAAATGAAACACAAGAGAATAACATCTCAGTAGAACATAGAACATAGAACATAGAACGTTACAGCGCAGTACAGGCCCTTCGGCCCTCGATGTTGTGCCGACCTGTGAAATCAATCTGAAGCCCATCTAACCTAAACTATTCCATTATCATCCATATGTTTATCCAATGACCATTTAAATGCCCTTAAAGTTGGCAAGTCTACTACTTTTGCAGGCAGGGCACTCCACGCCCTTACTACTCTCTGAGTAAAGAACCTACCTCTGACATCTGTCCTATATCTATCACCCCTCAATTTAAAGCTATGTCCCCTCGTGCTAGCCATCACCATCCGAGGAAAAAGGCTCTCACTGTCCACCCTATCTAATCCTCTGATCATCTTGTATGTCTCTATTAAGTCACCTCTTAACCTTCTTCTCTCTCACGAAAAAAGCCTCAAGTCCCTCAGCCTTTCCTCATAAGACCTTCCCTCCATACCAGGCAACATCCTGGTAAATCTCCTCTGCACCTTTTCCACATCCTTCCTGTAATGCGGTGACCAGAACTGTACGCAATACTCCAAGTGCGGCCGCACCAGAGTTTTGTACAGCTGCAACATGACCTCATGGCTCCGAAACTCAATCCCTCTACCAATAAAACCTAACATACCGTATGCCTTCTTAACAACGCTATCAACCTGGGTGGCAACTTTCAGTGATCTATGCACATGGACACCGAGATCTTTCTGCTCATCCACACTACCAAGAATCTTACCATTAGCCCAGTACTCTGTATTCCTGTTACTCCTTCCAAAGTGAATCACCTCACACTTTTCCGCATTAAACTCCATTTGCCACCTCTCAGCCCAGCTCTGCAACCTATCTATGCCCCTCTGTAACCTGCAACATCCTTCCGCACTATCCACAACTCCACCGACTTTGGTGTCATCCGCAAATTTACTAACCAATCCTTCTATGCCCTCATCCAGGTCATTTATAAAAATGACAAACAGCAGTGGCTCCAAAACAGATCCTTGAGGTACACCACTAGTAACTGACCTCCAGGATGAACATTTCCCATCAACCACCACCCTCTGTCTTCTTACAGCTAGCCATTACAGTAGTAATGTGCTATAAGATGGTTCTAAACAACACTGACTCCACAAATAAATTATCTTGCTTGGATTACAACCTGATCACATCCTGCTCAGACTGTCCGTTGTCTTGATCCTGCTAACAATTCCACATGTGTTAACTTTTAAAATAGTTCCTGAGAATCTTTTAAATATATATACTTACACAACATAGTAACAACTTGCATTTATATAGGAACTTTAACATTGGAAACAATTTAGACAAACTTCATTGAAATGCAATGAGGCAAAATTAGACACTGAATCAAAAAGAAGGAAATAATGGGGTAGGCCACTGAAATGTTGGCCCAGCATCAAGTGTGACACAGTTGGAGGGCTTGAGCATCTACTTATAAATTAGATGATAACATTTGTGCTTAAATTTCTACAGATTATCAAAATGCGTAGTTTTAATGCAGATATTTGTACTTACAATAGAACTTACATTAGATGAAAGCATAGCCTTAAATCTGGAAATGTGCTATATTCTTAAGGTACATTTAAGGTATTAATTTCTGCAAAGGAGAATCAAGTAAAATATTAAGAAAGAGAAAATACAATTGAACATAAATGAGTGAGAATAATGAAAACAGTTTTGTAAAAGCTTTTAAAGGTATGTATAAAAGGAAAGATTTGCAAAAACAAATGTGTGTCCATTGAGAAACTAGGTGATTACTTTGTGTCTGTGCTCAGAGGAAAATACTAAAAGCCTCCCAGAAAGAAAATAGAGAATCCAGGGACAAGTATAAATGAGAAATTGGAAGGTTTATTACTACTGGTATAAAAAAAAAGTAGCAGACAAATTAATTGGATTTAAAGTAGATGAATCCTCTGGACCAGATGACCTACATCCCAGAATCGAGATAGAGGTGGCTAGAGTGATTGTGAATGTGTGGTGGTCTTCTTTTAATTTTTTATAGGCTCTGGAATGGTTCATGCAGACTGGAAAGTGGCAGATGTAATTTGCACTATTTAAGAAAGGAGGGAGAGAGAAAATGAGGAACTACAGATCTCTTAGCCTAAAATCAGTAACAGGGAAAATGCTAGGATTAATAGTAGGCGATGTGATAACTTGACACTTAGAAAATAATGGAAGGATTGGTCAGAGTCAACATGGATTTATAAAAAAGGAAATTATCTTTGACAAACCTGTTTTTGTTCTTTGTGGGTGTAACCAACAGATTCCGTTAATCTGTTTAGATTTTTAGAGGGCTTTCAATGACGTCCCAGATTAGTAAATAAAATTATAGCACCAACGATTGGGGGAATATACTGGCGTGGGCTGAGAGCTGGTTAATAGATAGCACACAGAAAGTAGGAATACATGGATCATTTTCAAATTGACATGGTGTAACTAGTGAGGTACCACAGTTACAAGGGCCCTGAGGTATCCATAATCCATATCAATGATTTGGATATGGGTATTAAATGCAATATTTCAATAGTTGCAGAGGATACAAAACTAGTTGAGAATGTATACAGATGATCCAAGGAAACTTCAAGGGGATTTGGAGAGGCTAATTGAGTGGGCAAAAATTTGGCAGAAGGAATTCAATATGTTGAAATGTGAAGTCATCCACTTTGTTAGGAAAAACAGAACTATAGAGTATTTCTTAAACAAAAGCAGGAAAAGCTCAGCAGGTCTGGCAGCATCTGTGAAGAAAAAATCAGAGTTAATGTTTCGGGTCCGGTGACCC